ACAAAATAAAAGAATTAGAAAATTCCAACGCCAAAAGTTCTCAAATACTAGAGATCCAAACAAATTTTATAAAATCAATATCAACAGTGAACGATTCATTAATCAAAACAGAACAACAGAATGCTCTAATCAAAGAGTATGATAATTTGTTAACGGAAGTAGCAACAGAAAAATTAGGATTAGGTATCATGCATTTCGAGACTGCTATTATGGAAAGATTAACGATTGCGAATTTGATTATAGCTTAGTTTGCATATGAAACAGAAAACTTAGTTAATGTAGTAAATTTAGCTCTGCAAGGTTCAATTCATCCCAGTTTAATAGATTTTAAAATGTTTACAGAACAATTAAAAGAAATAAAAATCATACTACCAATAGACCTAGGTATATCAGTAGACTTGTCTAATAAAGGTGTGTCGGAATTACTACGGATAGGCGAAATAAATATAGTTATTTAAAAGATTTATTAACATTTATAATAGAAATACCATTAATTGATAACTTTAAGTTTGTAATGTATAAATACCTTTACCTATTAAGATACATGATAATATTTACATAATTATAGAACCTACATCAGATTATGTAGCAATAAATAAGTCACGTTTGCATTATATAAAGCTAAGTTCTCAGCAATTATCAAATTGTAAAACCATAACAAATGCAATTATTTGTAACCACGATCAACCTATTCAAAATGTAAAAGACTCATGTGAAGCAATGTTATTTCGTAATCCAGAAACAATCCCTAAATTATGTAATGTAGAGTATGTTCAATTTAATCATAATATATGGCATAAGTTAGAAAATAAGAATACCCTCTTTTAAACTTTAAAAACCGAATATCAACAAACGAAATATTTTGAGTGTAATAATTTAATTTTTAAATCTAAAACAATAGTATTGGGCTTTACTCTTGAAAAAAAAGAATGTTTCATGTATAGATAGACAAATTATGGTACCAGTCCAAGGGCACTTGTTACCTATTAAACAAAATTTAAAACTGTTCTTTGAACTTCCAGGAATTTATAATACAGCTTCAGAGTATACTGAAAATGCTATGAAACAAAAAGATATTCTTACATCATTTTTAAATGGTAATACTTGGAAGTTGATCAAGTGTAAATTCGTTGACAAAGTAGTTTTTCCTATTTTTCTTTACTACGATAACGCTGAAACGGGAAATCCATTAGGATCACATTAAGGAATCTATAAAATGGGATGTGTATACTATACCTGCTTTTCCACCAGAATATTTATCGTCCTTAGATAACATATTTCCCGCTTTTTTATTTCTTTCTTCTGACAGAGGAAGTTCAAAGTTTAATAACAAAACTATTTTTGCTTCTCTAATTAAAGTATTTATAGATTTGCAAGAAAACGGAATAACTATTTTAGTAAATTCAGTTAATATTCAAGTATAATTTGTTCTTGGATTAATGCTGGGGGATAACTTGAGACGCAACTCTGTACTTGGTTTTGTAGAAAGTTTTTCGGCAAATTATTATTGTAGAATTTGTAACTCCCATAAATCAAGCCTTCAGAAAATTCTCTTTGAAAGTACTAAATGTCTTAGAAATGCTGAAAATTATGAATTAAATGTCTTAAAAGACCATGTATCCGAAATAGGTATACGTGAACTTTGCGTATTCAATCAAATTTCCAATTATCACGTCACTGTACATAGTGTATGTGATTTTATGCATGGCATTACAGAAGGAGTTGCTCGTTATGATATGGCATTAATCATACACACCTTATAAAAGATAAATATTTTACTTTAGAATGTTTAAATAATCGTATAATGTTATTTGAATATGGTTTCTCCGGAAAAAAAAATTCACCACCTGCAATCAACCAAAATAATCTGAATAACGGTTGTATAATTATGTCATCTTCAGAGATGCTTTGTCTAGTTCAATATTTTGGATTAAGTTTTGGTGAGCTGATTAATAATGAATAATCTATTAATAATGAAGTTTGGAAATTATATTTAATGTTACAACAAATTATTGATATTTGTTGTTCGAGAAAAATTCAACCTGAATGTTCTTATTTATTAAACAATATAGTTGCTGAACATAATCGACTATATTTATTATTATCTCAAAGTATTCTGAAATCAAAATTTCACTTTCTAACCCATTATGGTAGTCTTTTAATTAAAAACAATCCTTTAGTATTAACTTCTTCAATACGCTTTGAAGCAAAACATAAAATTTTAAAAGCTTTTTCAAATTTAATACCTTATCGAATTAATCTTGGTTATACCCTTACAAATAAGCTTCAATTGCAGATAGTAAATCGATATTTAACACGACCTGGTTTAAGACCAGATTTAAAATTAGGCCAATGTTGTATTATTTCCCCAACTGTCGAAATACCATCTAGTTTCTTAAAGCAATTGCCTATTGAATTAAAATCATTTGTATCATGGATGATTTTTAAAGGTGTATCCTATAGATTTGGTATAGTTTTCGTTTAAACGTTTGGTTATTGTTTTTTTTTATTTTTTTGCTTTTGGTATTAGAATTCGTCTATACTTAAGATGAGTTAACATTTTATTTATGATGTTATATTTTGCATAAATATACTACATATTTATTTAATTGTACTTGTAACACAAATAAAGTTTTGATTTATATAGGTATAAAACAGAAAAAAATTGTTCATTTATTTACCTTTTCTCATGTATATACCTATAGAACATACCATAAATGACAAATATCAAAAATCTTATTTGTAATGGTTCATAGTATTCAAATTACTGCTTGGTATTTATTATAGTCAATATTAACCATATCAATTACTTATTATGATCTGTACTAAGTTAAGAGTATTTAGCTGAGATAAAAATACCTCACAAGGTAAAAAATATTAAAAATGATGTGATAAAAATAATATACAAGAAAATTATTTTGAATATTTAAAATTGATAATTCAATATTTTCTTTCAATTAAATCAATAACATAAATGAGGTTACTTTATCACTTACATAGTGTAATTTTATATTAGTTTCTTCTTATAAAACCACTACATTAATGAAGTTGAATTTAAGTAAATTTTATTTAATCTACATTATATATAAAGTTAATTTTACTAATAGTTGGAGTTATTTTAACAATAAAATAACTTATAAATAATTACCTAAAATATAATTGTTTTAGATAAGGTTTTGGTTATTTTTAACCCAGAATTGAAACAGAGATAACTACCAATTATGTAATTAAAATAAATGTTATGATCAACATTTAGTTTTTGTTAAATTGACAACAAATTAGGACTGGCTGGAAAATGACGTACAGTTGTGCATAGCATTGACACTTCCACGAGTTGAATTAACTACATTTTTCTATGTGTGTAATTGTATTGAGCAATTCTTAAAATAGTTTCCTTAATCAAGTGCACGTAGCCCAAATATGATATTGAATGTTCATATAAATATGGGTGTTTTATACACTTAAAAAAAACTTAAGTTACTACTCTAAGTACTCACTACGGACACACGGACTCCTACGGAGTGTTTATTGTCGTTGTGTCCATACTTTAAGAGGACGTCGTACCCGCGTATGTTGTCTCCGTCTTACAAATGCGTAACATGACAAATAGTACTCTGTTCAGAAGATCGAACGCTTCTTCAGTTTGAAGGTGGATGACCTGTTTTGAAATTTAAAAATTAGTTATCTAGGCATCCTATGACTTTATTGTATTTTATTCTTAAAGTTGTTATGTGTTTTAAGACGCAATTTACAATTTTAAAATACTCATAACTTGCTTTAAAATTAAAATACAATAAAAGTCTATGAGATGCCCTAGATAATAATCTCACCTTTTAAATTTCAAAAGAGTCAATTCATTCTAATTTTCAAACTGAAGGAGCTAAACGTGATCTTCTGAGAGTACTATTTGTCATGTTACGCATTTGTAAGACGGAGACAACATATGCGGGTACGACGTCCTCTTAATGAAATAACGAATTTAACTTTTACTGTATTATTATCATTATACCATTTTAACGTAAATTCAACTACTGTGTTATATTATTTATAACTACCTTTCCTTTTTTTTACCCTCGTCGAAAACTACGTAGCTGCACCGTCATAAAAGAAACATTGTTCCACAGCAGTAACAGGGCTGTGCACCACAAATTTGGTGTCAGGTGTGGGGTATTTTAAACTTTAAATTAAAATTCACAGTAACCAATATACATAAATTGTTTTGTTAAACGGAAAAAAATGGCTTGAGTAGGATATTTCCACTTAAACTTTTTAAATTTCCCTACCCAAAAGTACTGTGAACATGCAAATACATACTACTACCGGCTGCATACGAGTATATTCTGCGTGTGTATATCTTAAGGGTTAACTTTAATTATTGTGTTTGATTTACTGGAACCTAGAGTGCAAGGACTTGAAAGGTTATGACAAGACCGTGTCGCGAACCAGTAAAAAAATAAGTGCTGGTGAATATCATTGTCAAGCTGTTGAAATAGTGATATTTGTCTTATAATTCATAAATTGTAAATAGTCTTATTTTTTATTTTTCTATATAAATTTATATTTATAGTACAATAATGCATAAACAATTATTATGACTTAACTTATATAAACTTAATTTAGGTTATATTATTTTTACAGTTTTTTTTTTTTTATGTGTTGATATACAAACAATTATAACTTAGCTTAGGTTATTTTTTTACAATTTTTTTTTCCATACAATGTATTAATGTACAAACAATTATAACTTAACTTAGGTTATTTTTTTACAGTTTTTTTTTTCCATATAATGATTATAATGTATTGATGTACAAGTAATTATTCTTATTTGGTCTAATTTACTTATACTAATCTTAAATTATGCCATTATTTTTTTTATTTTTTTGTTTGTTTTTTTGGATAAATATTTATATATAACCTAAGTTGACTTAAATTAGGTTTTATATTATTATTTACAATTATGCATAAACATTTAATAATTAACTTAAATTAACTTAAAATTAGATAATGTATTTATTTTTTACATTTTTTTTTTTTATTGATAACCCTTTTTTGTATAATATTAATACTATTTTATTTGTGCTCTACTAAAGTACACCCTGTCAGCGTGAGTAGACCAATGAAGTTTCTTAATAAATACAGCTGCAGGGCACAGCATCCAAACATCAAGCCGCTGTCATCAAACGAGTTAGTCATAAGGATGTGTGACAAAACCTAGCCGAATGATCAAGAAATATATGTGTGGGTGAGCAACAGAACATCGTACTTGAACACAGAAACCAAGTTTAGAGGTTTGGGTATTTCAAACGTTGCGTGGCCAAATCCAATAACAACAGATCAAATAATAGAGAAGTCAAAAAACTACCTACTCTACCCCAGCATATCAGCTTTCTTGAGCAACACGTCTGAGGGCCTGTCGGAGAAAAAAGAGAAGGCGGAAGGCAGTGGAAATAACCAACAAGATCGGTGACGCGGTGACGAAGATTTACAGAAAAGGATTCATGTGAAAATCAAGTAACCGAAAATTATACTTCGATCAAAGAAAAATACAATTTTTCCGATTTAATGTCCCCAACACCCATCGCAGTAATAAAAATATTTGAAAAATTAACCAAAACATACACGATTTAAAAAAAAAACAAAGAAAGATGCAGAGATTGCAAAAAGTGTTCAAGATTTACTTAAAACAAATAAACCCATCATAATGACCAAAGAAGAGTAAACAGCACTTATGGACAATAATACATGCAACTTAAGTAATGTAATTTTTCCAACAAAAACGATTAAGTGGTAGACCACTGTCACTTATCCGGCAAATATAGGCAAACATTCAGTAATACCTACAACCTCAAGCTTCAAACACCGAATTTCATACCATATTTTCATGTTCATTTATCAAATTATGATACAAATTTAATCGTAACCGAGTTGGGTTACAACTCCATAACTATTTCGGTTATTTCAAACAGCGAAGAAAAATACATTTCATTTTCAAAACATGGGACCAATAACTTTTCAATACGATTCTAGACTTATGTCGTTTCATGGCATCGAAACTACAAGTATCAACACTTACAGAAAATGCATTAACAGTCGGGTTCGAGAAGTTCGGACAGACAGCAAAAAACGTTTTTACTGAAAACGTGCAAGCTCATTACTCTTTAAGGTGTATACTCTTATGAATATACAGATAGTTGGAACAAGCTCGAAGAAACAAATTTACCGGCGAAAAAAAAAGATTTTTACAGTAGACTAACAGTCACGTGTACAACAAGTAAATTATGAACACACAAAGACCGTATGAAACCATTTCAAATGCAAAAACCTCGGAGAATATAGTGACTTTTTAAAAAAAAACCTTTTATATTGTTGGCCATTGTATTTTAAAACTTCAAAGTCATGTGCATTTTAACATACAATTTGGACCTTGTTTATTATTATACAAACTATAAAAACATTATTTATAGAATGTTTCTTACCAAGAAAAAATTAGTCAACTGATAAAAGATGAAGTAATTGGGAAAGATATAACAAACTCCACTGTCAAACAAACTGAAGGAATTATTACTATAAAATCAGTTGCAGATGTAAAATGCACGAACTATTAGGCATGTTCATGTTTATATAATTATATAAACATAATTATATTATATATTACATATAATTAAGTCTAGAGCTAAGCATAATTCATTATTACTTGGCAAAGAAGATGTCTTCGATTATGAAGACGACATAAAAGCTTTTGATGTTGCCATTCAATAAAGCCAAACTTTTCATACAAGGCAAATTACCTTGAAATTTATAATGACGAGAAATTTGTAAAAAAATGTCGTTTAAAAAAAACAACAGTAGAGCGAGTTCTGAACGAAACAATCGATGAGATAAAATACCCTACAACTAGAGTTTGAGCTAGATATCTATTGTAACAAGACAAACCCGATATCGTAAACCGAGATAACTTTGCCCCACTTCGGAAGTAGTAAGCACTTCTGTATGGTATGATATACCTACACATTTATCAATTTTATTCTTTATGTTTACGGACACAGCAGATACAACTAAATAAAAAAAGGTTAGCTAATCAGAAGATAAGACAGTGTAGTGATGTATACCGAACAAACCATTCTCTAAGAATCTAAGATAGTTATGACACGGCATTAATATTGTATTATTAATTTTTTTCTTGTCCATTAATATTGGTGGTCGCGGTCCACAAAAAAAAAAGAGCTGAGGGCCGCATGTTTGACATGCTTGTTTTAGAGGTATTTAATATAATTATTTTTACATTCATATCTAATTTTTTTTTAAATTATAATTTTATGATGCTTAAGTTATACATGTATTTTTATTAGGATAAAGATATTCAAGTAAACTCTTCATCTTCTTCATCATATGAATCAAAGCCTACAAATTAAATTTAAATAAATTTGCCAAATGATAAACATAAAAAAAACAAAATACACAAAATTTAAATTGTTTTTTTCAAATTCAGTTGATATTGGTTATGTAAGAAGTAATTTTAGAAGGGAATAATTTATTTTTTATGTACATAATTATAACATTTATAGTTTGCTATTATTATATGAGTCAAATAATGTTACTGTATAGACAAGTGTACCCTTATCAGAGAGAATAGTGAATGTAGAAGGGATTTGGGAAAATCATGGTTATATTTTTAAGCTTTAGATTTTCCAAGGTGTAGCAGGACCAAATATACTAAACAATAATAATGAAACTATAAGTTTTTTCATTGCATTTTTACAAATGAATTAATTGGCCATTTAGTGTTTCAAACAAATTATTATGCTCAATAAAAGCAAAAAACTTTTGAGACAATCAATACTGGTTCTATGAAAGTATTTATGGCTATCAATATTGTAATGGGTATAAAAAAGCTTTCATCATATAAAGACTATTGGTATGTTAATATACAACTAAGGGATAAATACATATCATCTTTTATATCATTAAAAAATTTCAATAGTTTTTATCCAATTTCCACATCAATGACAATAACTTGGAACCCCAACGACTTGAACCAAATTATAACAAGTTATATAAAATACGGCCTTTCCTTGATTACCTATCTGAAACATTTTTGCAATGTATGAATCCAAATGAGTTTCAATCTATTAATGAAAATATGATACAATTTGAGGGGCATAGTACAATGAAGCCTATAGAAAGAGTCTACAAAATTTAGGTGCAAGCTGATGAAACTGGGTATGTTTGTGAGTTTGAGATATACACTGGAAGAACGAATTCAACTGAAAGTTCATTAGGCAAAGGTGTAGTAGTAAACTTACAAAAAAATCCAAGGAAAATATCAGTTTTTTTAATAATTTTTTACATCTCTTGATTTCATGGAAGATTTTTTTTTTAACAAAGTTTATAGTTGTGGAACTATAAGAGATAATAAGACATCCTATAAATAAATTGAATGACAAACAAATGGAAAATAGGGGATAGTGAGGGAAGTGTCATGAATAAAATGAAAAAACAATCGTGCAATACAATTTCCCTCTAACCTACTACAATTCTGATCAATTTACAAGTTGCTCGAGAAAAGCAAAAGATGGATCACTAACATAACATGCCCTATATAGGTGAAAGATTATAATAAGAATATGAAATATGTTGATTATGCAGATATACATGATTTTTTGCGTAAAATAATTGTACTAGTTAGAACAGCCTTAGCCCAGACTGTCACTGTAATCAAAAATGTTTTACTAACCTAACGGATGAAAAAAAAATTTATTTATTTGTAATATTAAATAATAAAAGTGATACGAACAAACAAAATACATATTTGGCTGGATTAATTAAGGTCAAACCTGTTATTTGTCAAAGGAAAAGAAATAATAGTCGATCAAGTAAAACATGTTCTGTAAAATATGAAATAAAAAGTGGTTTAGATATTACTTTAGTTTGTAAGAAGGCCTTTTATTCTCTTTTTGAAGTTTGAAAATCTAGAGTAGAAAGAATTATAAAAAATTTTAAGAACCATATTCCCAGCTCAGAGAATAAACGTGGTTAATATCAATGTCGACCTAATAAAATATTTGGCAATATAATGTTTCTAATTAGATATGTTTATTAATTAATTTTCTAAAAGACAATCTCATTATAGTAGGTTTTTAACAGAAATTTCAACATTGCATTTGGCAATCCCAAATCTACACCTGTGAAACCTATGATAAATTTAAAAAAATGATTGATAATGAAAACAATGCAGAAGAAAAAGCTAATCTTGAAGTAGAAAAACAAATTCATCTATGGAAAGCAGAAATGTTGCACTTATTTAAAGCCCAACAAAATGATTCAATAATTGATGTTCTAAGCTTTAATTTTTAACAAAACATGCCATCGGATGTTTTATTAAGTTTTAATTATTACTAAAAGTTGAAATATAATGTTTTTTGTTTTTAGTTTGTCATATTGTAACTATGAAAAGTAATAAACTATTTAAAATTTTCATTTTATCGTTTATTGTTAAATTTATTAAAATGTTATAATCTTTGTTTTTATCTAATAAAAAAAATAAAAAGCTATAATGTTAATTATTTTGCTTTTAAAGTTTAATGTACGCATGAACCAAATGCATCTTTTAACCAAAAAGGATATGATCAAGAATAGCGGGGAAGAAACCAAAATAGGACTTTTACAGATATGATTGACAATTTTTATAAACTAGTGGAGCTAAACAGCTCTTCAACTACTGCTTAAATATTGCATTATCAGACATTGTTATCTGCTGAAAAAAATTAATTTTATTAAATTTGGATATTTTACTATATGTCTTATAATTGATTAAGATAATGATAAACCTTAACAAAAATACATTGTAAGAATTAATTGCTTTTTGTAGGTGATTATTAGAAAAAAATAAAACTTATAGTCTGATGTTAATTTTATTGAAAAATATCAACAAAAAAACTTTATTTTATGCTTAGTATGCTCATTATGTTTTTAAAAAAAGTAAACTTTAATTTTGTCTCTTCAAAACTAAATTTTTTCATAAAACATGTCATAAATATGTATGATATAATATTTAATATATATATTTACTATTTATTAACAATGTAAAACAATTTTAATTTTTTTTTTTTTTAATGAAATATTTTTCTAGCAATGTAATTTATATTTTAAATGGTTATTTACATATATTCCACATAATTAATAATTTCCAATTAATACCTTAAAATGCATATAACTTATTTGTTAAGTAAATTCATTTAAAGTACATAATAGAAATAAAATCAATTATATACATTTTATAACTAATTGTTGAATATTCTTTTTTCTACACATTTAGTTATAAACTTGAAAGTGTACTGTTTCTAAAACTCTGTAATATGTAGGCATAAAATATACCTTTTGTGTGATAAGTTTTTATCACATATGCAAATTAGCTAACACAGTCAAACATTTATATTTAAGATGCTTATGGAGTGTAATTTAAAATATTCATTAAAAAATACATCTATGAGCTTACAAATCAATAGACCGCGCCAGGGGCTCATTCAAATGCATTTATTCAATATTATATAAAACCATGGCTAACATGACCATGTATCAGTTAAATGGTTAACTTACAATAATTATCATATACAATAATATTACACATATAACACTAGCTAGTTTTCTTAGTTAAAAACCACTTTATATCAACGTTAATACAAATGTAGTAAACAAAGAACAAATAACTAGTTTTAGAAGTATATATAATTAATTGTTTCATTACCATGTAATAATATAAAATTTCTAACATTTTATTTAAAAAAAAAAATATTTTTAATGAAGTTAGTTGATGTAAAAAACTTAAGTCATATTTTAGAATCAAATTACATGATACATTAATTATTTTAATTAAATAAATAAATTACTACTATACCGTAAAATTTAGTTATGAAATAATCAACATAAATAAGCATAAAATTGTTTTTATTTGATATCTCAATTAACACTATTTTCAAATAAAATGCCATTACAAACAACTTAAAAAAAAAATTGATAAAACACATATGACAAAGGAATAGGTTGGCCATTAATCAAAACAATGAAAATAAATATGAGTTAAATTATACTGTTAAAAGAGAAAGACATCAAAGCACGGCAAACAATGTGAAGTCAGTTAAATTGATTACTCAATTTTCAGAACAACATTATTTACTTACAAGTTTACTGTTATTATGAATTAACATTTTTTAGATAATTAGATCTTGATAAAATTGTTATACTTTAAAAATATTTTAATGTTTTTGAATAAACAAAAATTCAACATAAAACTAAAATAAAGATCTAATGTTTTGAAAATAAATATAATGAATAAAAAAATGCTGTGTTTTAAAAGATGTTCTCAGTTAGATTGATGTAGGATATTAAAATTATATTGCATTTATTTAATAGCACAAAAAATAAAAATAAAATAAGTTAAGTTAACACATAGTTATATTTATGCTTTGTGCTCATATATCCTATATCAAAATATATTACAGATATTGGGGTTATGTTGGCTAAAAAAATTTAAGTATTTAATTAGAGGATGGTAATTAAGCCTGAGTAAGTTAGGTTTACAAATGCAAAATAATAATAAAAGGAAAGTAACACAAAGTAACACACTTCATAAATAAGGAATTGACCAGACATCATCCAAATATAATGCATGTTAATATTACAACAGCAATGTATTGTAGGCCTATAAACAACAACAACGAAAGAATACCATTTCAAAAAACCTAGATAAAACAGTTGAGATTAACATATTCAAATGTGAGTAGAACAGTATCCAGACATCATAATCCAGTAGGATCATCATACATAAACCTGAAGCCAAGAACAAAAGAATGCTTACACTTAAAAAAGCCTAAGACATATTCAAACGTAATTTACAAGAGTTAGAGCGAGCACCATCATGCTGGTCAGGAATTTAATTAATTGAAATTCAAAACACTTTAAAGAATAATTATCGTGTGATTTATTTACTATACTGTGAGCTACCGAACACACTCATAAATGGTTGCTTGAAAGTAGGCCGCTACACTAACAGTTTTATTGAGTTTTCAAATTTTGTTCAATAACACTACTTGACTCATGTTATAAAGTTTACTAAATTAAAAATCTATTATTATTATATTACCTATCAAGTATTGTAGCTTAAAAAAAGAAAGTATGAATATAAAAAGAATGTCAATAAAACCTAGACTTTAAAATTGTTTCTAAGATATGTGATTTAAATCTTTTAAATTTAAATTAAACTTTGTATTGTTATTTAAAGTTACATTTTATTAAACATAAAATGCCTATTAGTAAGTGAACATC